CAAGACAAGTTTTTTTCCCCCCCAGTCAACATGGGGGGAAGCCTCATCTTAGATTTGAGTACTGGCCTGGGCCTGGAACCAAAGACAGAACTTAGCACTGCCCGCCCCAGGCCAGGGTGGCTCATGTGGCGGGGGGGGAAGCTGCCTGGGGGGGGGGGAAGCACAACCAGAAACCACATGGTGGAGAGCACAAGGAAGACAATGCAGCCTCCTCCTCTCCTCTCCCATGCTGCTTACCTTCTGCTACTTCTTTAGCTCTGAGCCTGAAGCTGCTGCTGCTGCTTCTGCCTGGCTAGGCTGGAGCAGGGCAGTGTGAGAGGAGCAGGCAGCAGGGGTCAGGCACAGGGATGGTGAGGGAGCAGGCAGGGAGGGAAAGGGGCAAGAAGTCTGGTCCCTCCTCTCCAATAATTAGATTCTATAAATGGAAAATGATTATGAATTTACTGGGTAAACACAGTATCTAATATTAAACTTCTCCTGCTAAACTGTTTTTATGGGACACACATATTTTTGGTTGGCTGAGAATGGTAGAAGGCCTTTTTGATCTTCAAGTCTTATCTCAATTAAAGCCTTGAAATTATTTATTGTATATCCCTCCCTATCCAAGTCTCAGAGAGGCTTATGATAAATCATATACAGAAAGGAATCCCTAAACAACACCCCAACACTCTTGAACTCTAACTCTCCCCTTCCTTCCAACCACAATTTCCCTGTCCAAACCCCCATATAAGCAAACCCTCCTGCCAATCCCAACCAATACTCACATCCAGATACAAGAATCCTTTTTCCTCAGCCCCCACCCTCCATTCCCACCATGCAGCCCACACCATCCTCCAAAGTCCCCTTCAAGTCTACACCCCCTGTCCTAGTACAGGGTATAGATGAATAATTTCTGAAGGGAAATTTATCACATATTTTACTCTGTAGTAAGGAGCTGACACAATCAAGCTCTCCTAATGCCTGCCAAGGGTGGATAGCTTGAAACACCAGGATATCAGGGTGTAGGAAAGACAGCCAGCACTGGGTAGACAGCTACCCCAGATGAAAAAGACTTTTTCATATACTAAGTTTATTGCAAAGGGAAAATACTACATATTTTTACAGGGTAACACTACCCAGTATTCAAGAGATTTATATTACAGTGGAACTGTGCATCATGCATTTGCCCTACTTTTACCATATAGTAAAGTCAATTTATTACACAGTAAACACGCTACATGTCTGCATTCTTCATAACCTGATGCAAAAACCTATTTTGGTAGGAGTCTTTCCATTCACTTCAATGGACTTTAGATCAAACCTATACCAAGATCAAATTCAAAGCTCAGATTCTAAAACGAAGAGTGTGTGGATCAAGAGAAGCACTTGCACGAAATTATGAAACCTAAGGGACAAGGTTTTGGACAGATGAAGCAATGGAGCACAGCAGGATGGTCCATGCTTTGCACTGAATACTATTTGTAGACACGGGGAAGGTGTCTATTATATTTATTTATTATTATTCATGAAGTTTTCTCCTAACTGATGATTACCTTAAGATATTCTTGAATTCAGCACTGACTGCAATTTAGAAAATTAAACTTTTAATAACTAGTGCAAGCATGGGCCAGCAGTGCAACAGTATTTTGGTATATAAATATCCAGCATCATGTCTATTTCCCCGCTGTTACATACAGAGTGGATAAATATATTAAACTTCATGTACTTCACATGATGTATATAAAGTATATTGCCATAACTCCATTGTCCCAGTCCCTTTACTGGGATAAGAATTATTCATTTCTATGCTGTATTTTCCATCCTTCAGAGCAGGGAAACATAATATATCTATGTGTCCCCTAACTTAGGGCAATAAAAGATAATCGGAGGTATACAAGGACAGACTGAAAACACTAAGACTCTTCAGTGTAGAAAGAAGACTGAGGTGGGATGACAGAGGTCTATAAAATCATGAAGAGTATGGATAAGAGGAATAGAAAACTGTTATTCACCAAATCCCAGAAGACAGGAACTAGGGGATACCTGCTGAAATTATCAAGAGGCAGGTTTAAACAAACAAGACACATCATGCAGTTAACTTGTGGAACTTGTTGCCATAGGAAAAAATTCACAGAGGACCAGGCCACTGGGAGCTGTTGAACAGAACAATCAGAGATGTATCCTTTGATATCCCTGGGCATTTATACACATAGTTTTTTGTCCTGCAACACACCAGAGATCCACAGCTTTGGAGCAGACTCAATTAATCAGTCTGCTGCGCATGCGAGCTGGTGTGCACTGCACAGCATCTCATGCAGTTGTATAAAGCAGCAAAATGTGCATCAGCACGCAGAAAATGGAAGCAGTACACTTTTGAACTAAAGCACCTATGTGCACCAGCGCCATTTTCTCAGCGCTGACGCGCTTTTCCCCCTTTATGCAACTGCAAGTGTTGCAACGCCAGGCGCTCACATGGGTAAATACCCCCTTGAAGCTGGCTGACCTCAGAGAAAAAGACAGGGAACAGATCCTTCTAGATGTGTCCCATTCATATTCTTTCTCCTTATGTAGTAGGGGCCAACCTTTGTTTGGTCAGAGAGCCACAAATTAGTTTCAGACCCTCTTCAAGTGCCACTGTGATTCTACCTTTCTCAATCTCTTGCTGCTCTGCTTTTGTTCCATACTTGGTGCTCCCTGCCCAATCTCCCACTCTGCTTTCTACTTCCTTCCCCATCTGTTCCTGTGTTGCCTGCCCCACCTCATCTGTTGAGTGCTACATACAGAGATTACCCATGCCACTTGTGGCATGCATGCAGCAGGTTGGCCACCCCTGCTCTAAAGCATCTACTACTTGCCACTATCAAGAGACAGGCCTACTGTGTTGTGCCATGATAGCAGGCCTAGGCCCACCAGGAACTACAAGCCCCCTCCCATCCCTTAATAGCTAGAGGGAAGCCACTAATTCCACTACTAATTATGTTGGACAAAAATGATACACCAGGAACAAGACTACAGATTATTGGTTAATACCCTCGTACCAAACTGACCGATGGAAGATTCCTTCCTGACCCCAAATGTGGGGATCAGTCTGACCCTAACTGGGAGTAGGGGTCCCCTACATACCCTCCAGCCAGGGTCAGACACAGATGGCACAGGGCTCCAGGGCACAGTGCCCTCCTAGCTGCAAGCCTCTCTTTCAACTTTCTGGGTGCAAACAAACGTGGGCAGCAAACACAGGGCTGCAGTGCGCGGCGGGGGGGAGGG